GAAAGAGATTGTAACCCCTAAGTCATCAATACAAATATTATTTTGTACACGTGTTCTTGTCGCATTCATTGCGGAAATTTCCGTGTTTACAATAGTATTTGGTAAATTTAAGATTTACTAGACAGAAGTGGAAAATCAATTAGATAAAAGTATAACAAGACTTAGGTCTGATAGAGGTGGTGAGTACACTCTTACTGATCTTAGTGTTTTATGTGAAAAGCATGGTATTATACATCAAGTAACATCACCTTATTCTCCTCAGTCTAATGGAGTTGCGGAAAGGAAGAATAGGACCTTATTGGATATGGTGAACACAATGCTTTTGAGTTCTGGATTTCCTAAAAATTTGTGAGGGGAAGCAATTTTGACTACATGTTTTATGTTAAATAGAGTAATCATTAAAAGACAACACTACTACTCCATATGAAATATGGAAAAATAGAACTCCAAATCTTCAAACCTTCTAAGTTCTGGAGGCTTTTTTGCATTTGTATTGACAAAGCCTCCACAAGTATTAGCCATCAAGTTACAAATGCAGAAGAGCCTCCAGCAAGACTTAGAAGGAGTAAGAGACCTAGAGTGGAGAAGAACTTTGGTGATGATTTTTATACCTTTTTAACTAAAGATGATCCAACAACATATAAAGAAGCCATGATGTCTATCGATGCTCCATTTGGAAAGAAGCTATAAATAGTGAAGTTTAGTGTATTTTACAAAACAACACTTGGGAGTTAACGGATTTACCACCCGGTACTACACCAATTGGTTGTAAGTGGGTATTTAGGAAGAAAAGCATGATGGAAGCATAGACAAGTACAAAGCAAGGCTAGTTGCCAAGGGATTCACTCAAAAGAAAAGAATTGATTATTTTGACACTTACTCTCCTGTGTTTGGTATTACCACAATTAGCATCTTTATAGCTTTCGCTTTTATGCACAATTTAGTAGTTCATCAAATGGATGTTAAACCAGCATTTTTGAATGGAGAATTAGATGAAGAAATTTACATGGAGCAACCCAAAGGATTTATAGTGAAGGGCCAAGAACATAAAGTGTGTAAGTTGGTTAAGTCGTTATATGGACTTAAGCAAGCTCCAAAGCAATGACATGAGAAGTTTGATAAAGTCATTTTAGAATGTGATTTTGAAATTAATGATCATGAAAAGTGTGTCTACTATAAGGAATGCAATGGACAATGTATTATATTATGTCTTTAATAAAGAAGTTGTTACTACTGAATGGATTAAGAATTTTTGCTTGATATTCCATTGGTGAGCAAGCCTATACCTGCCATCTCCATACATTGTGATAATAAGGCCATGATAGGTTTAGTGAGGCAGACACATACAAATAAGAAATTAAATAGACATATCAATGTTAGATACGAATATGTGAGGAGCTTGTTAAATAAAGAAGTTGCTTCTTATTCCTTTTTCCTAATTTAATTTTTCGTAAGTCTAATAGTGATTATACATTTAATTTATTATATTTGATCATAGAAACAGTTGGTATAGTTCTGCAATATATTTCACACATATAATGGTAGGATTGACCTTTATTAGAGAGTGTGTTAGCAAGTGGGTAAAATTTTGTGTATCCAAATTGTTTAATTTAAACTAAAAATATATATTGAAAAGTACAATCTAGTCCCTAGTCCTTTTCGTCCTGGCCATGGACATTGCCATCTTCACATTGAACAAATCTTGGACATGATCCAAGAACCTAAAATACACGTACCTCCATGTCTTGTCCAGAACTAAAAAACCGCAAACTCCCCAAAATTCAACAATGAAACCTAGGGCTGCAAAAATATAAAACTAGGGAAGCTTATCATGTTTGTTGTCTACATCTTGGTCGACGTTGTTCTTGTTATCCGCATCAATTTCTCTGTACTCGTTTGGAAGTGGAGCGCCACAAAGTTGAAGGTTCCTTTCAATACAGAAGCATTGAAGCTCTAGAGCTACATGCTCGTCGGTATTTTTCCTTCGAGATTATTGTATGAGACTTTAAATACTTTCAAGAAATTAAGGCTCTTCATTGACGAGGGGATTTTCCTGACAAATGATTTGTGGAGAGATTCAAACCCTCTAAATATTCTAGGTTAGATATTTAGTCTGGAATGTCGCTAGAAAAGTTGTAGCCTCCAAGATTCAACCCATGAATAAGCTGCAATTGGCCGATCTCAGTAGGTATACTACCACTAATGTTACTGACCAATAGGTCTATTATTCCAGGAAAATAAGACAATCTATGCGGCAAAAACATTGGATTTTTATTACACTGTTGATGAGGGGGAAGTTTAAATTCATAATTGTCTCCTAGAGATGCATTCACCATTAGCATTGGCAATCTACAAAGTTGTTTTGAAAATTCACCTGAAATTTGGTTGGCTGGCATTTCCATATAAAAGAGTTTTGGAATAGTTCCCAACCAACTTGGAATTGACCTTGTGATTTGATTACCACTCAGTTGCAACACCGCTAGATTCTTTAGGTTTGATAACTAACCATGTATATGACTAGTTAGCCCACAGTTAGCCAAACCTAATACACAAAGATTTTGGAATTCGTGAAAATCAACCATGTAATCATCAATTGGCATTGTTTCGTAGTCAAACGAACTTGTAAGGACAAGTGTGTGAAGACTTTTACAACCCACTAATATCTTCATTGCCTATGTGAAATTGGTCAATCGTATATGAGCAAGTGAGAGAAAGGATATGGATTTCAATGAAAGAATCTCATGTTGTATCTATCCTTCTAGATAAGGATTATTACTCAATCGAACTGCTTTTAGTGACCTGCATGAGTAAAGGCTTATCGGCAAGATACCCATGAAGTTATTCCTAATAGGTCAAGCTTACTAAGGTGACTGAGTTTGGAGAAATTATGTGTGGTAAGATCTCCTTCCCAGTAGTTGAATCCCAAATGTATTCCTAGGAGGTTTGTGCAATTTATCAAAGATGGGGGCAAATTACCTTCTAAACTATTGAAATCAAAATTCATGAATTTCAATTTGGAGAGCTTTCCGAAATTGGATGGGATCACACCACTCAAATGATTATAATAGAGGTCAAGGATTACAAGGTGGGTGAGGTTGGAAATTCTTTCACTAATGGCTCCATTTAGTGAATTGAGAGGTAATACAAGTTCCTCAAGTTTGGTAGTGTTGTAGATATCTTCTGGAAGGGATCCTGACAAGTTATTGTGACCGGCACGAAATATTTGCAGTTTGGAACACCCCCCGTGACACACCCTGACGGTGTCGGCCAACATGCTTCAACCTTCATTGGTCAGGGTGTGTCACCTCGAGCCCACGAAAAATGTCACCACTCAATTCATTAGAGGAAAAAATCCAAAAATCTTCTAGAAGGACAGGATCGGTGAAAAATAAATGAAGGGATATATCCAGAGAATGTGGTGTTACTGACATTGAAACTAGTCAAGTTCCAAGCTTGTTGGAAGAAAGAAGATGGAATTGCACCATGGAAGTGATTGCACAAATCTATTGTTTGGATATATTTTTTTTATGGTAGAGAAAACGGTAGCTCTTCAAAAGAAGGTTGTAGCTCAAATCAAGGATCTTGAGGTGATTCAAGGACAACAAGAATTTAGTTTCAAAGGCGCCATAAAGTGAATTGTGAGAAAGATTCAAGTGGGTGAGATTGTGAGATTTCCAAGTGTTGAGACAAACATACCTCCTTTGAGTCTTTTGGAGGGTAAGATCAAATGAGTGGCCCAACCCTCCTGATTATAAGTGATACCGTTCCAAGGACAAATATCAACATAACTACTCCAATTTACAGGAGGAAAAGATAGACTGTGGACGAAGGCCAATAGAGAGATGCATTCAGTTTGGTTGCTTGCATGAATATTAGTTGCAGAGATAATGTAAGCGAATAAGAAGACAAAGAGGAAGCCATGAGCCATTTTTTTAAGCGAAGACCTCAGTTGTTCATGACTCACAAGAAGGGTCGCGCATGAAAACAACTAAACTCAACTAAAGATTAAAATGTTGTTTTACCACTAGTACTATATTTTAGTGATATTTCTTTTTACTTTTAAGTGTAACGTTTTAAATTCAACTCGTGTAAATTACGAGTTCAAAATGAATCTATTATGTTGGCCCATTTTAATACTATTTAGTGGCATATACCACGTGCAATAAAGTAAAAGATTCGTCCCTACATGAATGCATGCAAATTGTATAAAAGCAATGAAAGATGGTTATTATCTTCCAAAATAAAAATAAAAAATGAAAGATGGTTATTATACAAAAAAGATTTCCCATTGGGGTTTCCAAACTGAGGAATGCAAGTTTCTTCATTGAAATGAATGCACTAGTGTAGAAGAAACGCCCAACCTTCTTCATTGAAAGCACAAGTTTCTTCATTGAAAGCAATGAAAGATGGTTATTTATTATTTCCAAACAAAAAAGTTCTTCATTGAAATGAATGGGTTTCCAAAAAAGAACAGAGGAATGCAAGTTTCCATTTGGGGTTTCCACAACCATTCCCACTTCCAACTCCAAATCCAATCCCATTACCGCTCCAACTTTTTCCATGATCATTTGATCAGAATCCAATTCCATTTCGGCTCAGTGTAAATTGCGAGTTCAATACCAATTTTTTATGTTGATTTTGTTTTAATAATATTTAGTGGCATATACAACATGCAAGAAAAAAAAATATACGACCCTACATAAATGCATGAAAATTGCAGTAATTGGTTCAAAGTGAAGTGAGAAAAAATCATTAGAATTCAATCTTGAGCACCAAATGAGCATAAAAAAACTTTGGGGTTTTTGAACATTATTAGAATTTAAAAAAAAAAAAAAAAAAAAAAAACTGACGCTACATTACAAACTCAATTTAATTCCTTAAAGACAAAAATGTACTTTTATTAAAATTATATATATATATATATATATATATACTAAAAGAGGAAGAAAAAAAAGCCTAAAACACTATTCCTTCGCCAGTGTTATGCCTTTTTGTCCTCGAGTTGCTCTGTAAATTTAGGTTTTTGTGTGTTTTATACAGTGAAATGGCATTTTTGACCCTGGGTGTCCAACAGAAGTCTCCCGACTTCTTCCTCAGAAATCTCAGAAATCAAAAAGGAAAAAACTGTGCTCTGCAACATGATCGGCGATTTCGATTCCGCTTCGTGAGATCTGTGCGATCTTTGCTTCAGGTTCTTCTTTTAATTGCTATGTGTGTAGCAGCTTTGTTCAGTTATATCTAATTGTTGATTATCAGTTAGGGTTTTGAGGATCCAAATATCAATACCTTGTGGGTTTGATTTGTCAAGAGTTTTGCCTTCTGGGTAGTTCTGTTGCCGTAAGTGTTTAAATAGAAAGGACATGTAAATATATATTGTAAATATTAAAATCCTTTATTAGGAAGGATATGTGTGTGTCCTTTATTGTTTCCTTATAGAACAAGGATTGTATCATGTAAATATTGTATATTATGCAATACAATGAGAATTAAGCCGTAAAGTCAATTTGGCATCAGAGCCAAGCGTAACCCTAAAAAATATTCCCACCATGTCGCTGCTACAGTAACAAAAACCCCGAGAAAACCCTTGTGATCTCTGTTGCGTTTCTGCAGCAAGTCCAGCCTACTGTGTTGCTTTTGTATGAGACAAGGGTCACTGTGATCACTGTGATCTCTGTTGCTGCGTTGTTTTTTGTAGGAGACAAGAAGGCTGTTGCGTTGGTTTTTTGTAGGAGACAAGGACCACTTCGTTTTTTTTTTTTTTTTTTCAGTTGTTGTCGCTGCATCCCTACAGCAAAACTCTGGTTTTTTTTTGCTCCGTACCTTCTGTGTGGTGGGCATTGTGATTAATGGCGAGTGATATAGGAGAAGCTGTGCTGAAATTGGAGGGTAGGACATCGAGTTCTACCCACGGGTCAGTTGTCAATCCTGTGGTTATTCAAAGTGATGCTTCAAACATACCAAATACTGTAAAACTCAATGGATCAAATTACCCTATTTGGTCCAAAGTATTAGAGATGCATATTGCTGGGCGTGGAAAAAAGGGGTTCATGACAAGGAGTATTAAGGAGCCCAATGAAGACAGTGCCAAATATGATGCTTGGGAGACTGGGAATGCAATTGTGAAATGATGGTTGATTAACTCCATGGATCCTACTATCATGGGTTTTTTCATTCATCTTCGTACTGCTAAATAAGTATGGGAAGAAGTTGCCAGGACGTATTATGATGGATCTAATATCTCTCAGATTTATGAATTGAAAGTGAAGTCATTCCGATTTCACCAAGAAGGGAGGCCTATCGGTATATACTATGCCGATCTTAAAGCTGTCTGGCAAGAACTCGATCAGAGAAGACCAATCAAGATGGCGTGTGCTCTTGACTTGAAAACACTTCGAGAAGAAGTTCAACTAGACCGTGTGTATGCTTTTTAAGCAGGCCTCAATGATGTTTTTTACAAGGTCCGCAGTGATATTTTGAGAACTTAACCTCTACCATCTGTGGAAGAAGCGTTTTCAGTAGTTAGATGGGAAGCTCAACGCCATGCTACTATGATGGGAGGTAGCGCTGCTGGGAACCACGGAGGATCCTTCCCCGTGGCAATGGTGTCATGGCCCTCTTCTGGCCGACCCTATGGTCCATCTTCATCAACCGATTCTTGTCCTTTCACTCAAGAGAATAAGGATGATTTGAAGTGTACTTTTTGTGGGCAAACCAGTCATACAGAAGATACATGTTTTTAGAAACATGGAGTACCTGAATGGTTTCCAGAATTGAAGAAGAAATTGTGTGCTAAAGAGCGTTCTTCTAGCGGAGCTAGTCGAAGGCGTCCACCTATGGTTGCCACAACAACTGGAAACAAAGATGTCGTGCCTACTCAGGGGGATCCAAGTCAAGCCTTGTTGACCCGACTCAATTCCAGTGAGTATTCATCCAATACAGGTACTGATAGGCGTGTTCTTTTAGCCTCTGGTACTGAACACCATACAGGTTGGATTTTGGACTCTGGAGCAACTGATCATATGACGTTTGATAAAAGGTTATTTAAGCATATGACAACGACACATCAAAAGTGTGTTGCCACGACAAATGGCACCACTGCCGTGGTGACTGAGGCTGGCACAGTGGACCTCACCATCTCTTTCTCTTCACCACTGTTTGCTTGTTCCGTTGTTGTCTCACCATTTATTATCTATTCCCCAAGTTACTGAGCAATTGGATTGTGTTGTACTTATGTATCCATTTTTTTGTTTGCTTCAGGATATTCAGACCAATGAGATAATTGGGCGTGGCACTAAGAGAGAGAGGTTGTACTATGTGGATGACGTCGTTCCTGGCAGAGCTAATGCAGTTCGAGCATCCCGTACTAGTAATCTGCAAGCAGTTTGGTTGTTACATAGTCGGTTAGGACATGTTTCTTTTGGTTATTTAAGGCGTATGTTGCCTAGTATGTTTCAGGAAATAAAGGAGTCAGACTTACATTGTGAAGTATGTATTCTTGCTAAGAGCCATCGTGCTTCATTTCCTTCTAGTATGAATAAAAGATTGCTTCCGTTTGAGCTTGTGCATTCAGATGTTTGAGGGCCCTCGCTCGTTACTACAGTTTCAGGAGTTAAGTGGTTTGTTACATTTGTTGATGATTGCACTCGTATGACATGGGTGTATTTGTTGAAACATAAAAGTGATGTAAGTGCCATTATTCGATCATTCTCTCAGCTGGTGGTTGTTCAATATTCTTCCGTTATTAAAGTTCTTCGTACTGATAATGGGGGAGAATATGTTAACTCTGAGCTTTCTAATTTTTTCCGTGATCAAGGAATTGTTCATGAGACAACTTGCTCGTACATCCCACAACAAAACGAGGTTGCTGAGAGGAAAAACCGTCATATTTTAGAAACCGCTCGTGCCCTGCTTATTGGTGGGTTTGTTCCCAAAAGTTTTTGGCCAGACGCCATCACCTATGTTGTGTATGTTATCAATCGCATGCCATCTCGGGTTGTAGAATTTCGTACTCCACTCCAAGTGCTGACGAAACATGTTCCGGTTGTTTCTACCAATACACTCACTTCTCGGGTGTTTGGCTGTGTGGCTTATGTTCATATTCACAAGATTCATCGTAGTAAATTGGATCCTTGTGCTCTTCGGTGTGTCTTTGTGGGTTTCGCATCCCACCAGAAAGGTTACAAGTGTTACCACCCTGCCACTCGTCACATGTATATCACCATGGATGTGACCTTCTCTAAGTCTGAATATTTTTATACTCCCGTATCACCATCTTTCGATCACAAGGGGGAGAGTTCTAATTGTGATCTTGATGGTGTTCTCGAATGGTTGGATGTACAAGAGGAAACGTCTTTAGGGGGAGTGCATGGTGTGCCAAGTGATACAGATGATGATGCTCGGTCTACTCATGCCGAACCTGCTGTTGTGAGTAGACAACAGGGTCTTACCAAACCTTTCCCAAGTATTCCACAGTTTCTCACCGAAGAAAAGACTGCTAGTCCATGTATTGGTACTGCCGAAGGAAAATGCATTGGTGATCAGCCGACTATTGCCGAAGCTTCCCCCCCTCTCTCTAGCTCAACAATGTCGTTGTCCAATGCATCTTCTCTGGATATCCCTGAGGTAAGCACTAGTGATACTCATGTAACTAATGATATTATAAGTACATATAAATGGCCACCAAGGCAAAATCGTGGTGTACCTCCTGACAGGTTCTCTCCAGAAGGAAAAGTGAAGTATCCTATAACCAATTATGTGTCCTTGAAAAATCTTTCATCCGAACGTCAAGCGTAGGTGAATAATGTGGATTCGATTCAGGTACCAACTCGGGTAGAAGACGCTTTAAAAAGTCAAGAATGGACTGATGCAATGGATAAAGAGATGAGGGCATTGCAGAAAAATAATACTTGGGAAGTTGTTGAGCTGCCAAAGGGAAAGAAACCAGTTGGGTGCCAATGGGTCTTTACCGTGAAATACAAGGTTGATGGAACACTTGATAGATATAAAGCAAGGTTGGTGGCGAAAGGGTATACTCAAACGTACGGAGTTGATTATCAGGAAACTTTCTCTCCAGTGGCTAAGATGAGTACGGTACGAGTCCTTATCTCATTAGCTGCAAATTTGAATTGGCCACTGAAACAATTTGATGTAAAAAATGCATTTCTTCATGGACATCTGGAGGAAGAAGTGTATATGGACTTCCCTCTAAGGTATAGTAACGGAGAAAAAATGGGAGCGTGCCGATTACGGAAGTCTCTTTACGGGCTTAAGCAGTCACCACGTGCATGGTTTGGGAGGTTCACTCAGGCTATGAGAAAGAATGGGTATTATCAGAGTCATTCTGATCATACTTTATTTGTGAAGCGGGGAAATGGTAAAGTAACAGCCTTGATTATTTATGTAGATGATATGATAATAACAGGTGATGATTCAGATGAAATTGTCAAACTGGAAAAGAACCTTTCTGCCGAGTTTGAGATGAAGAGTTTGGGTGACTTGAAGTATTTCCTTGGTGTGGAAGTTGCTCGTTCGTCCAGAGGTATTTTCTTGTCTCAACGAAAATATGTTATGGACTTATTGAAGGAAACAGGTATGCTTGGGTGTAAACAAATGGATACTCCCATTGTGGAGAAACATTACTTGGGAATTTATCAGGATCAAGAACCAGTGGATAAAGGCAGATATCAGAGACTGGTAGGAAGACTAATTTACTTAGCTCATACCCGTCCAGATATAGCCTATGCAGTAAGTGTGGTGAGTCAGTTTATGCACTCGCCAAGTGTGGATCATATGGCGGCTGTTATGCGGATTTTAGTTTATTTGAAGTCGGCTCTAGGAAAAGGAATTTTGTATAAAAATTCCGGTCATATGAGGATTGAAGGATTTACTGATGCTGATTAGGCAGGTGATGTAACTGATAGACGCTCTACTTCTGGGTGCTTTACGTTTGTTGGCGGAAATCTAGTTACTTGGAGGAACAAGAAGCAAAATGCGGTGTCAAGGTCGTCAGCTGAGGCCGAATTCAGAGGTATGGCACACGGAATATGTGAAGTCCTTTGGTTACGTACGTTACTTAGTGGTCTAGGTTTCAAAGCAAAGGAGGCTACAAGTTTGTATTGTGATAATAAATCCGCACAGGAGATCGCAGAGAATCCGGTACAACATGACAGAGCAAAGCATGTGGAGGTTGATCGTCATTTTATTAAGGAGAAGCTGGAGAAGAAAATCATTTCAATACCGTTTGTGAACTCGGAAGAGCAACTTGCGGATATCCTCACTCATGCCGTGTGTAGTAGATCTTTTGGTGATTCACTTGTCAAGTTGGGCATGTGTGATATCTATGCTCCAACTTGAGGGGGAGTGTTGCCATGAGTGTTTTTAAATAAAAAGGACATGTAAATATATATTGTAAATATTAAAATCCTTTATTAGGAAGGATATGTGTGTGTCCTTTATTGTTTCCTTATAGAACAAGGATTGCATCATGTATATATTGTCTATTATGCAATACAATGAGAATTAAGCCGTAAAGTCAATTAGTTCTACCTTCAGCTCCAGATGAACCTTCCCTGAAAAAAGTTACCAGGTTAGTGATTGCTTTCAAAAAGTTTCCCAATTGGATTTTTTGTTACTGTGTTCAAGAGAAAGAAGAAAGGTAAGAACTTTCAGCTGAGATAGTGCCCAACTCTCAAGTGCACTGTAATTTTTTATCATTTCCAAAATTACCTTCTGTAACAGAGAAAAGGGTGATGAATTTGACAAAGTTTGATGCTTTTTAGGATCGGTAGGCCACTATTTCTATCTAACTCCACAGGTTGTTTTTAACTTTTTATATGTTTTAAGTTTTTGTAATATAAATTTTGAGTGATGTTTCATTCTTAAGTTGTGGTTTTCTTTTGCTTTGCAGTTTCCAGTTTCTATTTGCACAAAGAACTTTTAGACAGGGTAGAACTTCTTCAGGTGTGTGCTCTGTATATTTCTCGAATTTCGATTTCTCAAATTGCTATTGTTTACGAATGTCGAATTGAGTTTGATTTCGAACTTGAATTTATATTCAATTTTGATTTACGAATGTCCTAATTTTATATTTTGAAGAAATTTAGAGATGAAGGTATTCAAGTTGGAGACTTTGATTTACGAATGTCCTAATTTTATTTTCGTTAAATTTCTGGAATTTTTCTATAATTTTATGAAGCGTTTAATTTTTTTTATTAATTAAATTACAAATAAGTATCAATGGCCTTCATTTGGTACCAATCAATCAAGTGAGAGATGTGTTGTCTGAATGTTTGATTTTGCTTGAATCAGTCTCTCTAAGTAGGAGAAAGAGAAGGATCCAAATGGGAGCAAGGCACGACATGGAACAAACAAGCTCATGAGAATGTTAACGTTCAAGGGACTCGGGGGATGGTGACTGATCAACTGAAAAAACTGAGGTATATGGTTTTTCTCTTCGAATTCCATAAACATGCATGTATTTACATCTAATATTAACGGTACAAGGAATCAAATAATTAAAATTTGGCCTAGAAAAATATTAGTTAAGTAAGCCGGTTCACAAGTGTGTGCAGTGCACATATAATATGTTCAATTTCTTGAAAACCGTCTTTATTTCGTAGATTAAACTAAGAAATTTGGAAAACCCTGTTAGAGATTTTGCTTGAAATCATGGTTTGGGATTAAATAGCAGGGTCAGATCTAGTATTCTGAGAAGTACTTCAATGATATCTACGAGTACAGGTATGCTCCTTTATGCTTCGTTTCTTTCGATTTTTCTTCAATTTTTTATAAACTTTTTGTTTTTTTCAATGTTGGTACAGGCATGTGGCTAAACTGCTCCCAAAAAATGGGCTTCTCTGCGAGGTAATTTATTAGGGTTTTCACTTTCTTTGATTGTAATATGTCCTTTTGAGAAATGCTTTGAGATTTGTTTGTATTTTGGGTTTTGTGTAATCTTGGAATCTTTCCTTTTTCTTCAGTGAGATTTGGGCTTTTTGGTTTCGTTTACAGTTCTTTTGAGTGTCCATAAATTTTCAATGCTGGGTTTCTATGGATTTTGTTATTTGAAGAGGGAAACTATGGATTGGTTTGTTACTTGGTACATATGTTTATATGCATCAAATTATATACATTCCCTCCTACTGAAATGTTCAAATATATTCATTTATGTATGTTTGCGCATTCACTTTCGTATACATGTGTTAACTGCCATATATACAATACAGCCATTTAGATTTGGTTAAATGAATAATGTACTTATAGGAATTGGTCATTTCACACATATAGATTGATAGTTAGATTAAATCGAAATTTCGTGAATCGGTCATACACTTTATGTGATTTTTATGCGGGAATGCTGGTGAATGCCTTATTTAATTTCCAAGAAATTGATGCTGAGAATATGGTATTTTCCTTCTGTTATGGAGAATAGTGGATTCTATGGTGCAGTAAATATGAGGCCCAATAAAAGTGTTTTTGTTTTCCCTTTCTCTTATATTCATCTGTTTTCAATATCGGATTGGATTTGCATTAAGGGTTTTGTTGATATGATATTATTGATAAAATACTAGAAAACCCACCTGAAGTTAAGCACGTTTAGGGGTTTGTTCTACTTTTGGTTCACTTAATATTCATACCTGTTTATGTTTTTACTTTTTTAAGTGTATGTTTTTAAGTTTTTTTTTTTTTTTTTTTTTTTTTTGTTGTGTGTAAGAATGTATCCAACATGGTTTCTTTTTCACACATCCTTTCAATAATTTAGATTGACTTCACCCCTAATCCATTGACAGTTGCTTTGTATACGTTAGGGATGGGTCTTCTTCTTCAGCTTAGTGGGCACCGTACCTTTAGCAGAGCGTCTAGGTAATGCGACTAAGTAAGTGCTAGCTTTTTGTTGAAGCATTAAGTTATCTTAACTTTGCTAAGGCTAATTCTTAAGTTTTTCATTGTTCTCTTAACTTTATGTTTTTTATTTTTTGTAAATATCATTTAGTAATTTACTATAATCTGATTGCTTTATCATTTGATACTCAATAATTTCTCTAGGGCATCGGATGTTCAACTTAACATCACAAGTAAAATGCATTGGTTCTTTCCATTGAATTTGTATTTTGGCCTTGCTCAACTGAAGTCCTTCCCGAGAGACCTGGAGCACCGGATTGTCCTGTAAGTAGCACTTCAATTCTTTCTTCTTTTTGCAGAAATAATGCATTAAGCACTTGAACTGTTAATTGATCCTTTTCCATTTGCATGTTGCAGTACTTTATGAACTCAAAGATGCAAATTTGTATGAGGTGCAAGTTTAATCATCCGAAGGACAAAGTGAGTATACCATAGTACTACAACTTTTCATAAAGTGGTTCCAATGATATAGTTTCATATATAATACTCTTACACTCTTTTACTAATTTTTGTTACACAATCAATCACTCACAGATCATACTATTCATAGAGTGATTCGAAGAATTCTAAGAGCTTCATTCTTGGTCTACTTCGAATTGAAACCGAATACTGCCTATCCAGATTTTCTCACCCTTCCATTCCTACCTCCTCCACCTCTTCATCCTTGCTCCACCGTGAATCAAAACCAAAAGTTGCTCATCCAAATCAATTTCGGTTCACTCAAATCCTTAGAACCCTAAAACCCAAATTTCTCCAGATCATTCCAAATTTCAATGGCAAATACAAAACCCAGATCCCTAAACTCACTCGATAACGTGTCAAGGGCTGGGCATCCAGTTCTCTCACTTGGCTCCCGTTGGATCCAGTATGCTTTTGCTGCTGCCAATCTATAGGTAAAGCTTAAATTTACATACAATTTTTTTTTCTTTTCTTGATTGGAATTTGGGCTTTTTGTTCCTCCTCAATCCCAAAGTTCTGTAATTTATGCAACTTTGATCAAAAGATGTTTTTTATTGCTGAAAATTGTTAACCCCAGTTTAGGTATTCATTTGCTCATTAAATCGCGTTTTGGATTCCGTAACCGAACCTCCTTGCTCCTCTTTTAACTCTAGAATCTTAAGTGTATATGTGGGTTTTGCTTTGAATTTGATAAACCTCTCTGTGTTCGTGAGCTGATACAGTTTTTGGGTACTAAGTCAAAATTTTGTTGGATAGGAACCCATAAACAAATATGAGGAAGTGTGTGAATCATCACTCAACAAGGGTGATTGGTGATAGAAATTGGGTTATTGCATTCATTACTGGCTTTATCATATTCATTACCCTCTTTTTCTTCAAAGGGTTTTGGCTCTGGAAGGAGATGGAGATCGGTGACAATGATCGGAGTTCGTCGCAGTATGGATGATCCCAGTGTAGCGTTGATTTTCAACTCTGGTGATTTGTAAGGTTTTTGGGGCGTGAATTTTGGGGGATTTCGTTTGGATTTCTGGGTAAGCAATTGCCACCTCTATTCAACTTAAATTTAGTTCCCTTTTTCTGTTTCTCAAATTTGTTTTGATGGAAAGATTGTTTTATCCTTTACTAAACAATTTTTAGGATTAATAGTTTTGATTTCTTTTGAATTTATTTTATATTTTATTTTGAAGCCCTGAATTTTGCAATGACTGTCTACCCTGTATGTACACCAGATGCTCCTGACATTTCAAATAAGGTAACTTCCCAAACACTGATGTTTCGCTTTTTTACTAGTATATGTAATCCTTGAGTTCTGTAACTTTACTAATATTCGTTTACTATGCGAGTTAAATTGTTATTTTTCGGTTTGTCAATAATTTTGTTTTTCTACTCGACATCCTGGAGAGGTTGCCATGTCAAGGAGTTCAAGTTTTGCTTAATAGATAACAATTGTTTTTAATCTTATCTGTAATATGTATGGTCTTGATCATGTCTTTTATTTTGGTGGCAGTTAGGTGTCACTAGATGGTCTACTAAAGCAGCTAAGGGTGTTTGGATTAAAACTTAAACTTTGGGCTCAAAAGGGAGTTGGCCCAAAAGGAGGAAAGAAGCTCAAAGTCCAGCCCAAGCCCAGAAGGCAGAAAAGGCCTTTCCCGACTAGGTGCAGATCATTTGCACCACTTGCTCACCTACCCAAAGACCAAGTGGTGTAGACCAGCCAGCTAATCAGCCCAAAAGTACTTTACAGTGGCAGTACAAGTAAAATAGCTGATGAGTCACTATCCTTCAAACTGCATTCGGGCAAGATTACTGCTACAGGAGGCCAAGCCAAAGTGTCTATAAAAGAAGAAAGAGAAATCAGAGTTGAGGACACTCAATCAAACAAACAAATACAAGCACAAACTCTGCTCAAAGCCAGATTTGCCTTCAAAACGAAGCTGTAGTCAGCCCAAGCCTTCATCCCTCTCGGGATAAACCCTTTGTAATAGCTCTGCTACCTTGTCAAGAACCTGCTCTAGTATCGATCTCTTTCTATAAACTCATCTCCCTACCCATTTTCTAAAAGCCTCAACCCCTTTGATAAACCACAAAGATAAGAAGTTGCAAGACGATCAGCCTTGCCCAACCCTCTTTGTTTCTGTCTTTTCATTCATTAACCTAGCAATATGTTGTATACGTCAAGTTGTATTCAAGTTATTTCTAGTAAGATGACTATTAAAAGACTCTCTCAACTCTTGAATCCGATTTGAATATGTCTTCACAGTTCAAACCAGATCTAAGTTCTAAGCTCTCGGGCATGTAAGATTGATCATTTAAAAGTCCTTGGCCTCAAGGCATAAAAAAGAACCTTATGTGGACTTAACCCATCCACGACAAGCTTTGATAACAGAAGTCCGAAGTTACTTGGGGCGTAAGTAATCCACCTATCCCTTAGTTTTATTTCTATTATATTATGATTACCATAGAACGTTTGAGTATAGAATGAATTCTGATAAGAAGCCTCAAGGCCTACACCTAAGGCCCTATAAAGGCACCTATTTGGATTCATTCTATTCCTCGGGCTAGAACGTTTGAGTATGGAAGGAATTATGATGGGAAGCCTCAAGGCCTACACCTAAGGCCCTACAAAGGCACCTATTTGGATTCATTCTGCTCTTCGGGCTCAGGTAATCAGAAGTATAATGATTATAAGGCTCATACAATCAATGAAACGAACATTATATGTGCGAGTACTGAGTTAGTTACTGACTAGAAGCCTCAAGGCCTACACCTAAGGCCCCACAAAGGAACCTGTCATAACTAACATAGTCTCTCGGATATATATACAACTAAAACTCAACATCCGTTTTACATCTGCCATGCTGAAAATGGCAGTGGCACGCCTGAGCACTTAAAAGTTAATGTTGATTGTGAGCCTCAAGGCCTACACCTAAGGCCCCGCGAAGGCACCTTTCAACGTTAACTTTGTCCTTCTCTTTCAGCTTTGCCCGACAAGCCTTGCTCGACAAGCCTTGCCCGATAAGCTCGCTAGTGAAGCAGAAGCCCGACAGAAAGCATCAACCAGCACCAACCTCTCGGGGAGCTGTGTGCTCATCGGCTAGGAGACATCCCCGACGGAAATTCTAGCCACGAACAAAGGGTATTGAAATCAGTTGTGGTTGATTGGTGGTGGGGAATTGTAGAGGGATATGGTAGACATGAGTATACCAATCCAAGGAACTCACTTCCCCTTCATGCTCGAAATTCACACTCAGTCTGTAGATTATATAATCATTTGGGCATGGTTTCTCTCTAGGATAAAGCTTCTGTCTGGCTATATATATGGAATTGGGTTTGTGTAATTAATGTCAAATAATTGAGTGAAAGAGTTAAGCTCTCCTTTTACGCAACAAACAATCCCTCTCTTTTTGTAAACCAATCCAACAAAACCTTTCTAATTTATCTTAAACTTATAAAACCAACACATTCTGTGATAGTAAAGATCAAAATGCATTTTTTTAATGAAATGATTTGGGTTAGTCAAGTTATATATAAGACTTTGTTGTCGGACTATATTATAGATGAATAATAAATATTATGTGAATTCAGTTGGCTTTCATTTATTCTTAAATAATTTACAAATGAGTGCTAAAGTTTGATTATGGTTTCAAACCCGCAGCAAAGTGTGGGCTTCTTTGCTAGTTTATTCCTAAACTAGTTTATATTCTATTTTTGTTATTTAATGTCTCTACATTAAAATTTTAATTTTATTAATATGCACATGTAAGATCTTTCAATTATAAATGAACATAAATGAGAAAATATTAAAAGAAATTAGAGACACATAAATATGTAAATATATAAGTGTACAGAAATGATTGTACCGAAATGTTTGTACTGACATATATTATAATGAACCTAAATTTATATACCGAATCGTATTATATTGATTAATGTACCTAAATATCAATACTAAAATGTATGTACCAAAATGTAGGTACCTCAATGTATCGTATTGAATTAATATACCTATATATTTGTATCAATGGATATACTGTAATATATCAAATGAAGTAATGTATCTAAATGAAGATTATACAAATTGTATACTCCTATATTATATACAAAAAAAATTAGTTTACCTATAAATGTAGACATATTATGATGAATGAAATGAAAATGAAAGTTAAATGTAATTAATAAAATAAAAATAGGAAAAAAGAAAGAAAAAGAACATCAAAACATAATTAATAAATGAGAGAATTAAATCTATTAGGGACTAAGATTAGATTTTAATCTTGTACGAGGTTATAGTCAAACTCATCTTTATTAAGGAATAAAATGAAGTTTTCTAAAAAAAATAAAATTATCGCATTGCAAACTCATTAAGAAAAACCATGACCACACGGTAATGTACATTTTCCAAACACTTCAATATGTCAAAGGGAGATTTCCTCTTAAGATTGTTTTCTTCCATTGCCAACCACCTAACGAGATATTTTTCAATGTGACGGGCATACGGGATGGTACATCATGTGTCATTATATAAATAGTAAAATATGTGTGTTAAAAAGTTAATAACTTAAAAAATAAAATTTCTCATTACTTATATAAAAACATGTGGTACCCCTTATGTTCTTGCACAATGAAAAAAAATTCCCATGGAAAGCATGCGTAGCTTCTCCTGAGGCAAAGGCATAAAATTCCACACAACCGTATAAAAACCATGATGAATGGTTATTAAACAAAAGACATATAATGCAAAAAAATAAAAAATATTGCTTATAGTAAAAAGCAAAGACCTCAGTTGGTCAAGATGGGGCCAAACCCTTCAACAAGTTCCACGACCGCCCTTAATGTACATTTTTCCAAACCCTTGAACACGTCAAAGAGAAATTTCCAAACCCTTCAATACACCATGAGAAATTTCAGAACCCACCAATACGTCAAAGAGAGATTTCAGAACCCTTCGATACGTCAAAGAGAGATTTCAGAACCCTTCACTGACTAAGTAAACGTTTAGGAGTTTGACATGAAAGGAACACCAACTTCTTTGATATTATTTGCGGCCACATTTCTTCTATTAGAACTATGGACATCAGTGTGTTTATTTTTGTGGCGTGGATTGAAGAGGAACCTCTTTTTAATGTGCTGCTTATTGAAAGAAGTCCATAGTTCCTTCTTTTCTTTTTCTTTTCTATATTTTTTTATTTTTTTATTTTTATTTTTATTTTTATTTTTATTTTTATGTTAGTTTGTTGGAGCACGTTCTTATTTTCAACCTCTTTTATTTTAGAATCAGTAAACTACTATTGTGCTATTGAACCATTTAATGTTTTCAAACAAAAACTGCATCACATTGTTTATTGAAATTAAAAATATACAATGACAAGTACAATCTAGTCCTTAATCTTTCTCTTCATCTTGGTCATGCACACTACTACCTTCACATAGAGCGAACCTTGTCTATTATCCAGGAACCGAAATTATGTGTACCTCCATGTCTTCTTAAGAATTAAAGAATCACCAACTCCCCAAAATCTGACAATGAAACCTAGGGCTGCACAAACATAAAACCAGGGAAACTCATAGCATTCATTGGCCGCATCTTAGTCAACATTGTTCTCATTATCTACATCAATTTCTCTACACTCATGTAGAAGTGGAGAGCCACAAAGTTTAGGGTTCTCATCAAATGCCACTACTAGAAATTTCCACTTTGCCGACAAAAATAGTTTGTCGGCAAAAGTCAAAATTCGTCGGCAAAGAGCCTTTCCCAACGAAAAATTTTGTCGGCAATTTTGTCGCTAAAAGCATGTCGGGCAAGATCTTTCTCGACAAATCTTGATATTTCGTCGGCTCATTTTTAAGGCGACAAATCTCAGCCGTCAAACTGTGCCCGTCACCAAAACAACATTGCGACAAAATATTTTGTCAGCATAGGTTGTTTTTTCGTGATGAAGTTATTTGTTGGCTTAGTGATCTTGTCGCGACAAAATATTTTGTCGGCTGAGTAATCTTGTCGCGACAAAACATTTTGGCGGCTAAGTAATCTTGTCGTGACAAAATGGTTTTTCGGCTATGTAGTCCTATGACAACAAATTGGTTTGTCGGCTCAAATTACTTGTGTAGACAAAATAATTAGTTGGTTGAATCTTTTGTGAACAAAAACATTTGTTGGCTAATTAATTTTGTGCCGACAAAACATGTCAAGTCCAATATTTTCTAATTTTTAATAATATTTTTAACCATCACAAACAAGCAAGCTTAAGAGATCGAGAAGGGGCGTGAATGAAGAATTAATGTAGGAACAACACAAAATTCATGTAATATAAACTAATGTAAGGTTCACAATTCGGTGTAGTTACAAAATACAAAAATATCTATGTTTTCATTTCGAGATTACTATAATATAGATAAAATATCCTTAAGTATCACCATTCTCACTATAGTCCTCATCAAGTTGATATGCAGCATCATGAAATCGGGAAACGATAAGGATCATCATGAAACATTCCAGTATCAAACAACTGTAGAAGAAAAACAAATTAAAAAACTTGATTAGCAAACGTTAAGGGTGCTAAATATCATTGACATTAAGGAACGCAAGGCCACACTAGAGTGGTATTTCTAAACAAATAACTTATGAAACCATAAATGTGTAAACAACAAGATAAAGATATCTACTAATCAAGTTAACTTACCAACGCCATGCAGCATCACAACCTAGCAAAATTACATGTTTAATAGATACCAGGTAATAATCAAGTTAGCATCAATTACTTATATGTCATTCATCATTGTAAACAACAAGATAAACATTATAAACAGCAAGGCAACATGATTATCACACTCTGTAAACAAGGCAGCATGATAAGTAGATCATATAAATCCTTGAAAGGTCTATAAGTTATATAAACATAACAATACCAATCACCTAGCTAAGTAGGTTATAACTCTAGAACATAAGCATATGCACCTGGAAACATAAATAAACTATACTAAAGCATCCTAATTCATCATTGTTTATAATCTTTATCAGTGTAAACAAGAAGATATAGACATCTACTAATCAAGTTAATCCTCAAATATCAAAATTACCTGGTGTGAATGATCCTCACATTGGTCTCCATGCCGTGCTGATACCAGTTGTAAGCTATCTAGCCCAGAATTCCACTGAGCCATAGACAACCTGCAAGTGTTATAGAAAGGAAAAACAAATATGTCAAACCTAGACCACAATATCGAAAAATTACAGTGGAAATCTGGAATTAAAGTCAAAGGACATTGTTTTCAACAATATCCCCAAATCTTGCTGAATTTCTCTCAATGACTTCAATCTACAGTTGTTACAATTCTGGCATGGGCACTTAGTATAACCCTCAGCGTTGACATGTTTGCTTGCACTTTTCAAAAATTCTGAAATCCCATTTAAATATTCCCTACTCACTCGATTCGGATTTCGTATCCATTCCCTGTCCATGGCATATAAAGTATCTACTCCCTGTTTACATGTTTACAAATTTAATTTTACATGCAACATTCATTAGGACCAGCAATCAAACAATGAATAAGATAGGCTGAGGGTGACGGTGTAACAACATACCTTACCAAAGAAAGCAGCTAGCCTAGAATATAATCAGATTCTTCAGTATATAAGCCCAGCCTTGTAACCGCCCTCTGTATAGGAAAATTGAACAAATTTAGAGAGAGATATATATATTCCAGTAAAAAAATTGAAAAGAATTAAACCCTGATTCCACCAATCCATATATAGTACCCAGCCACATCCCCCACCCCGCAGAAGGTAAAACAATTGCAGATGAGAATTAGAAGGGGAAGAACCCACAATATACTCGAAAGAATCGAAAAAAAAAAATTAAAACCCTAAGAGAATTACGCAAAAAACTGATGGGTTTATCCATCAGAAACGTAAATTGAAGATGACAATTAGGAGGGAAAAACCTTTTTTAGGATTTGACTTTGACGATGGTTTCGATTTCCACCGGAATGAGGCTGTCGGTCTGTCTAATTGCAGCGACGGAGATGGAGGTGGAGAGGGAAAAGGATAGGGAGAAGGAATGGGACGGAGAGACTAATTCTTAATTTTTTTTCTAACTCCCCGCGTCTATGTTGATACTGCCCTTTTATCCCGCACGGCTCTCCTTTTAATTTGTTAAATAGCGTTTTCTTAAGTTTAGAATTGTGAGTGACATGCATGGTACATTCAAATAGCACTGGCCAACAATTCGTGCATTTAAATTTTGTCTTATACTGATTTCTAATTTTAATAGAGGGTTCTGATTCGATTTTTTTTTCTTATGTATAACAAACGCACCTTTAGAGTTTATTTATTCTTTCATTAAGTATAATATAAGAATTTGTGGTATCCACAAGTGTAAATATTTTAAATTGAAGATCGAGCTCATTCATTATATTCATATAGGATCAAGGAGTGTAGCTGTAAAAAATCATCAAAATCAGAGTTAAAATAACCGTTAAATCGTGATTTTTCGTTTATAACCGTAAAAAAGTTTTGTCTCCTTACATGATCTCTGAATGTTTGTATTTTGCAATTTTTGGCGTATGCGATCTCGAAACATATATAAACAAGTTTGACGGTTGGATTGTTGAAATTAGTTTTGTATAATGCGTATCCCATGAAAATGACAGATTCACTAACACTTAGAGTTTATTTATACTTTCATTAAGTATAACATAAGAATTTGTGGTATCCACAAGTGTAAATATTTTAAATTGAAGATCGAGCTCATTCATTGTATTCATATAGGATCAAGAAGTGTAACTGTAAAAAATCATCAAAATCGGAGTTAAAATAACCGTTAAATCGTGATTTTTCGTTTATAGCCGTCAAAAAGTTTTGTCTCCTTACATGATCTCTGAATGTTTGTTTTTTGCAATTTTTCGCGTATGCGATCTCGAAACATATATAAGCAAGTTTGACGGTTGGATCGTTGAAATTAGTTTCGTAGAATGCGTATCTCATGAAAATGATAGATTCACTAACACTTAGAGTTTATTTATACTTTCATTAAGTATAACATAAGAATTTGTGGTATCCACAAGTGTAAATATTTTAAATTGAAGATCGAGCTCATTCATTGTATTCATATAGGATCAAGGAGTGTAGCTGTAAAAAAGCATCAAAATCGGAGTTAAAATAACCGTTAAATCGTGATTTTTCGTTTATAGCCGTCAAAAAGTTTTGTCTCCTTACATGATCTCTGAATGTTTTTTTTTTGCAATTTTTGGCGTATGCGATCTCGAATCATATATAAACAAGTTTGACGGTTGGATCATTGAAATTAGTTTTGTAGAATGCGTATCCCATGAAAATGATAGATTCACTAACACTAAGAGTTTATTTATATTTTCATTAAGTATAACATAAGAATTTGTGGTATCCACTAGTGTAAATATTTTAAATTGAAGATCGAGCTCATTCATTGTAAATATTTTAAACTGAAGCCCTTTTGTGACGCCAGCATTAGTGTCGCTATTCCAATCCGACATTACATTGTTTTATGTCGGATTTTTGCTAAATTTCCGACAGAAATTGGGTTTCTTGTCGGTTTTTGCTTCGCCACTGATAAGGTATATTGTAGTAGTGGGTGTTGGTACCAAGTAACAGATTCATGATAAAACGTTCAAATATTTTAAAGGATTTTTCGTTAGTTTTCATTTTTTATTAAAGTGTAACAAGGTATGTTTATATCTTTCGCCAAAAAATTAACCAAAAATTCATGTTTACATCTTCCGCGACAATATTTCCGGTCTTTTTAAATTCATGGTATATAACATTAATTTTATTAAATTTCTTACTCCCGTGTCGACGACGAACTGCAGTCCTCTTTCTGGCAGGTGCTTCAGTAGGTAAATCATTATGAGTATCATCAAGTTGGGATCCTGCTGCACCTTGGGATTGAGTGTGATGAAGAAAGGTCCCGTTCGGACCACTCATGGTTTGGGAACGAGTACAGGGCAAAGAAGGTATGGTGTTTTCCCGCCAAGGTCGTGGAGGATCAATGTTTCTTGGCTCTAGTTGAGGAGTATCACTCCTGGTCGCACCACCCATAGAATGAGATTGTGTGCGAGAAAGATAAGTCTGCCTCAAAAAATCAGGCCTATTCCTCTCTTGACGAAAAGTAGGAGGAGCTCCGATAGCAGATGTAGACCGTGACTGGGATGGCAGAGGCGGGATTCTTGTTGACACAAAAGGTCGTTTCCTTTTTTGGCTAATCATTGGCATCTACAAAAAAAAAAAAACCAAGTTTAAGTTAAATGTAAATACATATATGTAGTGCATTAGAATTCATTGGTAAGAATAAACCTGGTTGCTTGTGGTGCAGCTTCTGCAAAAGTATGGAGACGATCGTGAGAGTTAGAGAAGGGAGAGAGATGATAGAGGCGTGGATGAGAATCAGTTAAGAGTGCAAGAATCGTAAACCTAGGGATAGAAATCCTCAAAATTGTTTCTGAGCGGGAAAGACCCCGCCAAATTGTTAGAAGATAAATAAGAATTCTTATCAAACTGAAATCGGATGGCGTGAGCGAAGAATGTGGGGGGGGGGGAAGTCATGAGCAATTGGGATTAGCATGCAATTGGGAGGGAGATCATGAGGCGACAAAATAGGAATAGCATGCAATGGGAGGGAGATCAGGCAATTGGGGGATGTGAACCGACAATTGAGGGATGTGAACCGACAATTGGAATAATAGAAATATTATGGGAGGGAGATCATGAGGCGGCAAAATAGGATTAGACAGAATATGGGAGGGAGATCATGCAATTGGCAGATGTGAACCGACAAAATAGGTTTGGATTGCCATGGGAAATTTATAAGTTTGTTCTTATAATTATATGTTATGTTTTTAGAAAACTTGGCATGCTTGTCGAATTAGAATGGATGATTACATACAACTGTATTCAAATTTACAATTGTAATTGACTAATAATTGATCATAACCTAAACCAAGTTATCTGTTGCTAGAAAGTAGTTTGGAGTTAGAATTGATAGGAAGAACTTTTTCAAACACTCACATATTATGAAATCAAATTGTCAATATAGATTATTGATGGCATAAAACTACAATCTAGAAATATGAAATGCTAGATATCTCTTTATCTATGCTCCCGTTCATATAGAGAAACAAGAGAGAATGATAGCATAAATAGTTGCCAAGAGCTTGGATTGCGTTCCCGGGAAAAAAATGGATAGGTGCACTGGTGAACACCTCTCACGTAGAGTTATTAATACCTTGCCAATGACATACTTTATTGCCTCTCTAATCAATTTGCCGATGAAATACTTTGTTGCCTCACATCATCGGCTAATATTTCAATATAGCGGGAAAAGTTCCCGCCAAAGTTTACCCGTCAAAACAAAATTTGTCAGGGCATCGAATTTACGCCTACAAAATGATCGTCGGTTAACGTTTCAATTTTCTTGGCTAAGATTGGCATTGTAAATTGGTTCTAGTGTAAGTATTCAGCCGACAAATTAAAATTTTCGTCGAGAAAGGACTCTTGTGCCGACAAAATTTTGCTTTGTCGGCTTATAATTTGTTGGCAAAATTATAATTTCTAGTAGTGTGCAGAAGCATTGAAGCTCTAGAGCTACATGCCTATTGGTATTTTTCCCTTCAAGATTATTGTACAAGACATTAAAAACGCTCAAGAAATTAAGGTTCATCATTGATGAGGGAATTTTTCTAGACAAACAATTCATGGAGAGGTTCAAAATATCTAAATACTTTAAGTTAGATATTTGAAATAGAATTTCTTCAGAGAAGTTTTGCAGTTAAGATACAACACACGAAAAAGTTGCAATTGGCCGATCTCAGCAAGTATACTACCACGAATGTTACTCAATGGAAAGTTAGATGGTATGCGTGCCATATATGTTGAATTTTCGATTGTGCCGCCCAAGATGGGAAATTCAAATTCATAACTGTCTACTGGAGATGCATTCACCATTAACATTGGTAATCTACAAAGTTGTTTTGGAAAAATCACTTGAAATTTGGTTGGCTGACAATTCCACATAAAAGAGCTTCGGAAGAGTCCCCAACCAACTTGGAATTGACGCTGTGATTTGATTACCATTCAGCTACAATATCTCTAGAGTCCTTTGGTTTGACAACCAACTAGGTATCTGACCAGTTAGCTCGCAGTCATCCAAACCCAATACACGAAGATTTTGGAATTTGTAAAAATCAACCATGTCATCATCAGTTGGTATTGCCTTGCGGTCAAACAAACCGCTAAGGAAGAGTGTGTAAAGACTTTTTATCTCAGCCGTTCATTTACAAACAAGAACAAATCGAAAAACTTGTAGAAATTCAAAGTGTTCTTCATCAATCTCAGCTGAAATGCTTACAATCAAACACTCCCTTATAAGTTTGTTGCTGATTTCACCCCTAGTATCTCCTTGAAATATGAGAGCTTGTCCTTTGGTAGAGCTTTAGTAAGGATATCTACCATTTGCTCTTCTACTAGACAATCTCATTCTCATTTTGTTGAATTGCTTCTTGGATGATGTTGAACATCCTGTTTATATGCCTTATTTTCTGGTGGAAAACAGGGTTCTTAGCCCTTGCTGTTGCTAAAGTATTGTCATAGAGTAACTGAATTGACTTAATTTACTCCTCCCAAATCCTCTAGCACAAATCTCAACCATTTGGCTTGAGAAGTTGCCTCTGCTGTACTAACATATTTTGCTTCATTGATGGAGAATGCATATGTTTTGCTTGATTGATGCCGAAGAAAACACATATGGGCTAAGGTTGAATGTATATCCATAAGTACTCTTTATATCATCTTCACTTCTAGCCTAATCACTATCACTATAGCTTATGAGTAAGGCTGATTTTCCCTTGACATATTCAATTCCATGATCTAAATTTCCTTGGATGTACCTCAAGACCTTTTTTGCAGTTCCCATGTGTTTCTTAGTCAAATTATCCATAAACCTAGAGAGTAGGCGTGTAGAAAACATATGTCAGGCCTTGTTGCATCCAAATAGAGCAACCTTCCCACAATCTTCCTATACTCAGCTTCATTTACAGCCTTACTACCATCAACTTTGCATA